GCTATACCACAGGCGTCCGGAGCAAAGCCGCGGAGCACTGGGGCAGCGGGACAGCCCAGATGCGCTGCGGCTGTCCTGCTGCCCGTGTGCTCCACGGCTTTGCTCCCTGTCTCTCTGGTCTGCAGGGAGACCGGGAGCAAAGCCTTGGAGCACACCCACAGCGGGACAGCCCGGGTGCGCCTGGGCTGTCCCGCTGCAGGCGTGCTCCAAAGCTTTGCTCCCCGTCTCCCTGCAGACCAGGGAGACGGGGAGCAGCTTTTCTCGCCCCGGAGGACGGGGGCGGCAGACCGCGGCACATCTGGGTGTCCCGCCGCTCCCATCCTCCGGGGCGAGAAAAGCCCCGTTCGTAACTGCGGATCCGACATAAGTCTGATCCGCGTAACTCGGGGACTGCCTGTATATTTTACAATTGTTAGACATGAAAAAGGAAATGCAAAAAGAGAATATTCTAGAGTTAACTTCTGACATCACTTACATTAAGTCTGTTCTATGTAACATTTACAAATCTTCCTTATACAGGCTGCCCCCAACTTGCAACGCGATCGGCTCCAGGGATAGCGTTGCAAGTCAGGGGTGTCGTAACTTGAACCCGCATTTATGACAGGTGTTGTAAGCTGTTGTAAATGCGGGGCCGAGGATGTAAGTTGGGGGATTTCAGCCCCTTCCGCACTTACGGAAAAGGTTGTAAGTGCAGGGGGTCGTAAATCATGCTATCGTAAAGCAGGGGCCTCCTATATAAAGGCAAAGAAGACCAATATTACAGAAATATTTTTAATGGCATTTTATCAGAGATTTTTGAACACCCAGTAATGTCAAGAAAAGCATTCATATCTAAAATGAAAAGTGCTAGTATAATTTACAAACTGACATCTTAGCCATCTGTTAATACTCAGTTTTTTGAAATTTTCAGTGCATTACAGTTTGTCTGGTTTAACTAATAATTATCAAGTACAATCTACATTGGTAAACGTATAGAAACTCTGACAGTCCAACATTAATGTTAACTTTTGAGAATGAACTAATTGTGAATAAAAGATTACAGTTAGAAAACAGTTTTTTTCTGTGTTGTGCTTAATAGGTCATGTGCATGTTTCTGTTTAGATGGGTTTATTCTAAAAGCCTGCTTGACATTGTCAAGGTAAGAAAAGAAACACAGTCTTGCCCAAAAAATTTCCAAAAAATTTCAGTTGTATAAGACAAGCTGTAAAGGAATGTGGGTTGTGTGAATTTGGAAAGACCTGACGGTGGAGAGAAGAATAAAGGTGATCTGCTGATGGCCTCCCACATACATATTAAGTAACGAATAGATGTGAATTAACAAGTTAGTGACATGAGTTTTCATTGGATCAGTATACAATAATATGCAATCTTAGGGTACGTCTAGACTACAAGCCTCTTTTGAAGGAGAGCATCTAGATAGCAACCAGTAATTTAGAAAAAGAGCCGCTTTTTCGAAAGAGAGCACCCAGGCAGTCTCTTTCGAAAAAGCACTGTTTGTGTTCAAAAACATCTTTTTTCAAAAGAGCACTTTTCAAAAAAGGCATTATTCTTCATAAAATGAGGTTTTCCACGGTCGAAAAAACTGTCACATTCTTTTGATTTACTTTTGAAAGAATGCAGCAGCAGTCTAGACGCAGGGGAAGTTTTTTCGGAAAAAGGCCACTTTTTTTGAAAAAACTGTAGTCTAGACATACCTTTGGGGGCCAAAAAGGTTCCTCCTTAAAATTTTAGAAGTTTGTTCCAAATTATGGTATATATAAAATGGATTTTTTTTCTGTGATTTGCAATGATATAAAGTGTTACATTCAGCTGTCAATCATATATTAAAGGTTCTTCTGTTGCATTAAATTGATCAATCACAAGGAGTCATGCCTAATAGATCAAATCAAAATTTTAATATAAAAAGGGCACATTGTGAAAAATAGCATTTATAATAATTGTTGTGAGATGTCTATAAATGTCATATTTTCAAACACTTCCTTCATAAATATATGTTTAAACAGTCACATTCACATCTTGTATTTGGAATATTATAGATTAGCACTAGTGATGCTTAACCTTTTTCTCAACCAGAATTATCTTTTCATTTATCTCTTCGTGCTTGTTCCTGGCCCAAAGGAGACTTTTTAAAAACATTTTGAGACCTATAAAGCTCCGTAGCTTCTGGTCTACAATAATTCTCTGACCCTTCTGTGCAGCATGTCTCCAAAGGCTGTTCCTGAATCCAAGAGCCATCTTCCCTATTTGGCAGCAATAGAACGCCACACAAGTTTACATAGGAGTAGGGTGTGGTACATATTTGTTCTTGATGGATAGACAGACAAAAGAAACATTATTTGACTCCTCTTATTCCTTTCCTCTCCCTCTACCCCAGTAGTTTAATGAATAGTGTCTCCTAAGTACAATGTAAAGAAGTTTAAAGAAATATTCATAGCATTAATAAAGACAAACAGTATCTTCCCTGCTAGTTCTGGAGTAATTCTTTTGTAGGCCCAGCTGCATGGCTTTAATAGGAATGGAGAAAAAAGATGTACCCAGAATGTCATAGAGGGCAGGGCATGGAAAGCTTATTTTAATGAATCTCTAATGGTGAGAAGGCTGGTATAGATTGGGCATTTAAAAAAAAATCACTCTGTTGGTTAAAATGCCTGTCCCTGTGTAGTGGTGCTACACCGTTTTTAAAAAGTCCTAGTTTAGATAAGGGCTATTGAGGAACGTTGGCTCACAATGGAGAAACAAGATTTCCTGAAATTATATTGAAAATACCTGTGCTCTGTCTACACTAAATAGCCTATTTAAAATATTAGTAATACCTATTACAGCTGAAAAAGTTTTATACCTACTAATATTCTTATTCAGCAAGACACTTAAATACATATTTAAGTCTTAGTGAACTCAATAGTAAAAATATACTTAAGAGATTTACAGAATAGGTGATGGACTTAAGCTTGTACTTAAGCACTTTGCTGAATCTGGTTAATGATCTTTTTAGTATGGGTTTGGGTTCTACTGCCAAAGCCAACATCCAGGGTTTGTACAAGTCCTGGAAAAAGGCTGGGTTTTTCTGTTTGTGTTTTTTTTGTTTGTGTTTTTTTTGTTTTTGTTAAAGTCAGACCTTAGAATTCAGATTAAGTAATTGTTTGCAGTTGAGTAGGAACTTGGTACCTTCAAGTTTTCTTTTGTTTTATTATGATTTGTTTTGCCATCATATCCACTTGAATAAACAGAAATTTCAGTGTTCAATGAGTATATGTGTTACTACAAATGTCTATATTTTCTACTAGGCAAAACTCTTTAGAAAGGACAGATGCCATAAAGGTAAGACTTAGTTTTCCATAGGATTTACTTCAGCATCAGTTTCTTGGGCAACGGATGTGGTTTGTTTCTTATATCACTGTAATATTGAGAAAAACTAGCTTTTTATTGCCAGAAATTTTCATGTGTGGTAAATAAATTTCAAAGCTCTAATTCTGAATACTGTTGTGGACTTCTGTTGAAGTTACTGAGAATTTGCATAACTTCAAGAATTCCCACAAATGCGGGGTATCTTAAGTAATTACAGAAGGATAGTTGTGTTAGTCTGTAACTTTAAAAACAATTAGTCCTGTGACACTTTTGACTAGACTAGAGACTAACCTTTGATGAAGTGGATTTTACCCATGAAAGCTCATGATCCTATATATGTTAGTCTCTGAGGTGCCACAGGACTACTTGTTGTTTTCATTTTTATTAATATTATTACTCTCGTTTTAGGACCAAAAGTGTAGACAAAATGGCAGATTACAAGTGTTTGGTCCAAAAGGTAAGTGAAGTAATAATAATGATTTAGTAGTGGAATAAATCCTTAATTTTTTAATATTTTTGCTTGTCCTGATTATTTAAAATATCCAGTAAGCAAGTTTTTGAGTTGTTTAGCAGTGCAAATTTTAATTGCAACTTCGAAACATTTTGCAATATCTCATAGTCAAAGTTTAGAATTGTAAATCAGAATTTGTATTAAGTGATTCAGAACTTGAAACAGCTGTTGTTCATTTATTTTTTAGAAGAAGTGGTTATTGAACCAATTCAAACAGTGCCATGGTAAGATGATCTCTTTCATTTTGCAGCTGATCTATTACATGCCTTTTTAAGCAATTAGAGTTAGATAATGAAATCATTTGTCACCTAATTAATTTTGAAAGACTGGAAATGCATGGATTAGTGCTTTAACCTTTGGTTCAGTTGGCACTATTGTTATTTAGATGGCTGCATTTAAAATAAAATGTAAGTGTTGTGAAAGTACACTTTTTAAAATTAAGGCCTTTAAATTGTATGTTACTGAATGGTTTTTTCAATTAGATTTTTTTACTGTTATAGAATACACTTTTTTTTTGAAACCATGGAAACATTTTCTGGTGTGCATAATCTTTTGGTTTGAAATGATAGGATTAATGTATACGTTAAAATTAAAAATACTGGATTTAAAAAAAAATACTGGATTTAAAAAAGCAATGGAAGATTTATCTCAGGAATGGATCCTGGATCCTTAAAGTCTGCAGGAGTTTTGCCAGTAGTATTAATGAGTGCAAGTTCAGGTACTGAGTGATCTTAGCTGCTTTGATAATATCAATCAGTGTATTTAAGATTTTTATGAAGATAAGTGAAAACTGCACACTTTTCCAAAATAAGCAAAGTTACCACAGCCTGTAGACTGCTCCCATAAAAGTCCATGGGAACCTTCAATTGACTTCAGTGGAACAAGAACATGCATCATGACAAGATCCCTTCTTCTGTGAGCAATCAAAAGGCAGATGTGGCTATACTGTAAAAGGTGGAAGGTCACCCTTTTTAGATGTGACCTAAATTTGGATTGTACACATGAAAGAGTCTACATGAAAAAATGTGAATATACTTGTTAAAGTCTGTCTGAATATTTGGCCCTGGTGATTACCCAAGATTGCTCCAAAATATCTTTCCTTGCTTTATGTCATGTCTGTAAAACTCTATTTGGGTTGCAAGATTTGTATCTCCTTTACACAAGTGCAAACTTTGGAGTAACTCCAAAGATTAAATGGATCAAATGTTGAAAGAGAGCTCTTTTTCCTGGCTATATCCCTTTCCATAAATGTTTTGTTCATGCAAACTGCATTTGCACATGTAATCTAGTAGATCAATATTTCTCAAAGTGTTCTGTGGGACTGCACCGCTTTATTTACCTAAAAGGTAAATAAAGTATCCGTGGAGCCTTGCAGCTCCCATTGGGTCTGGTTTGCTGTTTCCAGCCAAGGAGAGACACAGGGCTCTGTGGCTACAGGTCCTTCAGGTAGACAAAGCATCATGGGCCTGCTAAGAGTTTTCCCAAAGTGGTCCCATGGGACACTTTGAAAAACACTGTGGTCAGTAATAGGTAACTGGACTTTTAACCTCTCTGTTTTTACACCCATGTAATTACTTGGACATTGTAAAATACATATAAATGAGTTAATTTTTGCATGGATATGGAAAAGCTTGTAAATGCAATTTTTAAGCCACTTTTAAAAACTTGGCCATAAAATTCTCACCAAGTGTACTGCTCTTGATGTTACACTTGGTGAGAATTTTATGGTCAAGTTTTACCACATGGCGCTATAAAATTGCTCTAGTTCCTAGATTTTTTTTTCATAGCTGGAATTGGAATAAATTCCTTTTGTGATTTCTTTTCCCTTTAGCAGTCATTTTGTAAAGTATAACTGCAGTTTGTTATGTTATGAATATTAAATATATCATTAAATCAATCTAAAAAGTAGGAATATGCATCTCTAGTAAAAGAATAATTTTATATAGGAATGAGGATTATTTATTTTTATAGCCCTGAGTTTTATTACAGGCATGTAATTGTTTCAAGGTATTTATTACATGAATAGGTAAACCCTAGTTTATATAATTATGTTGAGACTGATGTCTCCTTATTTTTACTGAAGTTTAAAAATTCTGTAGAAGTTACTCATACATTTTCAAAAGTCAGTTCACTGCTACTTGCTTCCTGTGCTATCACAAAGGATAATTTTGTTATTTGTGGAGACTTGATGTTATTGACCTACTTTCAGTACCTCAAATTACATGTTGTTTGGGGGATCTGAAAATTCAGTATGCAAAAATTAGAGTTGAAAATTATTTTCTCTTTGATCCCAACTTTATATTTTTGTTCTTTAATACAGAAAGATATATAAAAACTTTGAGAAGTGTATTCAGTTGCTCTCTGAGAATGACAATTAAAGATACAGTGACTGTGAAGTGTAAGCTCAGACCCCAAGGTTGCCAAAGCAGGGAGGTTCAACCTGTACAGTCATCTCTGTTGTATATAAAATCTGCAATAAACAAAGTAACTATTCAGGTTACTGACTCGCCTTCAGTGGTGCTGAGTTCAGCACTTGGTTTTTATATCACAATATAAAAGTTAAATTTTTATGAAAGAGAAAAAATAGAATCATCTAGTGAGGACATTGTATAGATCACAGCTTTTGTGTGTGTTTTTATTTTTGATTGGGCAGAGAGGAGATAGTAGTACTAATTTTGAGTAGACACAAACTCACAAGTATTGATGGAAAGAACATAATTATATTGCAGTTACTGGCAGTATTTGATTTGTTTCTTTGTGTGGAAAATGATTTTTAATTTAAATCAAGGCAGCATGGATGCCAACCAGAATCTACAAACAAAATTTATCCCCCAACAAAACAAATTGCATTATGTGCAGCTAAATCAACTTTTGAAAAGTAAGTCTTATTTCTTTGTAGTTCACTATGTGCATTTAAGAAAAATAGGCTATTACAATTTTATTTTGTGCTTTTAAAATGAATAATCTTAACCCTTTGGATTAATGCTTCAATTACTGGTTAGTCAGGAGCACTCTGTCAGAAGAGGATGGATTTATGGTCACTGGGAAGAAGTGCTGGGCTGGAAATCTTGCTAAAATCAGTACCAAATGGCTCTGTGTCCCTCCATCACAAATTAATGATCACTTCCTTAGGCTGTAAGATTTGGGGAAGGGATATACATCAGAAGGATAGGCCAGGATGGAAAATTCTAATATAAACTCTATGTTGGCTTTATGTATAGACAAGACAACATCACTACAAAAGCATGTTGGTGTCATGAGCATTGGCTAGGCAGCTAATATGACTGCAGCCAGTGTGATGAATTGTGTCTAGCAGAAGCAAGAGCAGGCTGATCAAATAGTATTCTGAATTGCCAGAGAATAATCAGAATATAGGCTTTGGGACAGTGTAGTACAAAAAAATGTAAAAACTCTGCACTGGACAAGGAACTGACATGGATTAGAAAGAAAGAAGGAAAGAAAGAAGGAAAGAAAGAAAGAAATCCCAACACAAAAAAATTACCATACCAAATCTGAATCAATCTTAATTTTTTGTTGGCGAACTAAACTGAGCTCCAGGTTGTCCGTAGGTTAATTGTCTTAAAGAAAATGGCTGCAAAGTTCCTGAAAACCTAAGGCAATGGAAGGAACTTCTTGGGGTGAGGAAGAAAGAAGGAAAGAAAGAAGGAAAGAAAGAAAGAAATCCCAACACAAAAAAATTACCATACCAAATCTGAATCAATCTTAATTTTTTGTTGGCGAACTAAACTGAGCTCCAGGTTGTCCGTAGGTTAATTGTCTTAAAGAAAATGGCTGCAAAGTTCCTGAAAACCTAAGGCAATGGAAGGAACTTCTTGGGGTGAGGAGGTCAGTGCAGCTGGGGCTGGGGCAGGCAGGCTCCCAGCCCCACCTACAGCCCTGCCCCCTCTGCTGAGGTGCCTCCCCCACCATGGGAAGGGGAGGAGGTGAGGCAGCATGCTGTGCATCTGTCTGTCCCCTGCACCACAGGGTGGGGAAGAGCTCAAACATCCTAGCTTCCCTGGAGCACTGGGTAGGGTGGAGGCCGTGTGGCCCGAGCCTCCCTGGCTTGAAGCAGTGGGGAAGGTGGGCACTGTGAGCAGCAACACTCCACCCCTACAATGCCTACAGCAGGTTTTCTGGGGGCGGCATGTGGGCAGCACCATGCCTGGCGGTTTGGGAAGGCAAAGTCTTCCTCCACCTACCATACCGGATGCCTATGCCATAGCAGGAGAGAAATGGTAAATACACTTATTTTGCTCCCTTTTGTTAATTTTGATTATGAGAATTCTTAATCTCACTGTCAATTAAGGATTGCATCTCATGTCTAGATTCTAGAAAATACATGTCCTTCAAAAAGTGCACAGTCATCCAGCAGATAAATCACTTTTCCATAAGAAGCATGACAGGGTTATCATATCTGGCTTACAATTTTTGTGCTGTTGTTATTACATCTGTGTAAAAATTGGCTTAAATTGGATATAGATCTGATTTTAGTTTTTACGTGCTTATTTTATTTTATTTTGTACTGGAAATTGCATCCAATATGTAGATGGGACACTTCTGCAAAAAGTATAAAAAATAAAAAATCATCTAAGATTCAAGAAACTAACTTAAGATCCCCCCACTACATGCAAGAAAATACAGGTAAGATTTTTACTTTCTTCACTGGGTTACAGATAAGTCTCTGATTCAACCAGCCACATCTCAAAAACTGAGGCTATCAAGTGGGTAAGGAGTAGAGATTATAAAATAGTATTCGTTTCTGTGCTGCATGATTGTGGAGACAACCTGATTTTCTTGTAAGGACTGAATGTGATATCTTAGTCATAGGGTTGCCGGGTGTCCGCTGTTGATCCAGACAGTCCAGTATTTTCACCTCCTGTCCAGTTAAAAAAAAATCAGAAAATACCAGACACCTAAAATGTCCAGTATTTTCTGATTTTTTTTTCCTTGCCAGGAGGCGAGAAACCAGACACCTGGCAACTCCTACACACACTCAGCAACCGGGCCCAGCCCCCAGTCCCTCTGAACCAGCCCCTGGGCCCCTCCTGGACCCCCCCTTCAACTCCCCCTCCTCCCCACTTACCCGGTTGCGCAGGGGAGCTCTCTTCCCACACAGAGTAAGAAAACAAGATGGCCGCCGGCAAAAAAAAACCAAAGGCCTTAAGGGGGCCATGCTGTTTTTTTGTGTGTGTGTGTGTTTGTTTTTTTTTAACAGCTTTGGTCTCACTTTTCTTTTCTTTTTTTCTCAACAGTGTTTTTCTTGGGGGGGGGGGTCTGTATTTTTGGTTAAACCATCTGTCAACCCTACTTAGTCATGTGTGTATCTGGTTTGATGGAAATAATGCTGTGGTTTTGATAAGTGGTTTATCTGTCTGAAGTGCTTGTCTATGACTTCTGCTTCACACTATAGAAATAATCTTTTTTAGTTCTGATATCTCCTGAATTCAGGATATGTGGAGGATAATGTATTATAAAATATAAAAAAGAAAATGTTAGTTGTATCTAAGAAAACTCTAGAGAATATCTACTATGTTCATAGAAGACATTACTCTTAATAGCTTGAAAAGGGGCTAAAATTTCCTGATATGACACAGAGAACAACATATGCTATCATAAAGCATATACAATATAAAAGTCTGACTTCAGAGGTTATGAACTTCTAGAATTGTTTGCTTCAGTGACACTGTATTGCATACAAAAAGATCTGACAACATATAAAGTGGTTTTACAAAGAAAATTCCATATAAGGTGCAGATTTTTTTTGTTTAATAAATGTCTTCATAAATACCATGTATTATCCTTTCCCTTTTGGAATTAACATTAATATGCACAATAATAGATTGTAATTTTTATACCTTGTTTGTTTTAATTTTAAAGAATTAACAATTTGATTTACACAGACTGCACTATGAAACAAAGATCAATGAAGCTAGGACAGATAGTATCAAACCAGAAGATATTGATTGGTTGGTTCAAGTGAAATGTATCTCTGAATCCCTGACAATTCTCCATGCAAATATTTTCTATTTAAAGTTGCCTTTTATATTTCAAAAACAATTTTTTTAGGAGACTGACATGGAGAAAGTGTAGTAGTCTGAGCCTTAATTTGTATCTTCTAGACACGTATCAAAATAAGGGATAGAGCTCAACCATTGTTCCTTGTAAAAAGCACTGTGGCCTTTTATCTTTGGGGCACGCAGAAGCTTCACCTCCTGCTATTTCTCCTCTTCTTTGTGTATATCAGTTTTTTCCTCCCCTGGCCAGCTACTCTGTTTTGGGATCAAAGCTCTAAGGAAAGGGCCTGATTTCTGCTTTGCCTTTAGCCCTAGTCTACGCTACAGTTTTATGTTGGTATAACTCAGGCCTAGTCTACACTACCACGGGCCATCAATCTAATTTACACCACTTCAGCTATGTGATTAACATAGCTGATGTCAGTTTATTTACTGCAGTATATTCACAGCAGTAAGTCAATGGATGAATTCTCCTGTTGACTCCCCTTATTCTGGTGGTGTACTAGAGTAAATGGGAGAGTAGTTGGTGATCAGTTTATCGTGTCTGTAGTAGACATGATAAATCGACCCCTTATTCCCAGATTGATACAGTGAATAGTGAAAACATGCCTCCACAGTTGTGGATTTTACCAACTTGACTTCTAGTGTAGGCACGGTTATATCAGCAGGTACGCCTCTTTGGTATAGGTATTTTACCTCCCCATGTAAGAAGGTCTCCTTGTCAGCACTTGCACTTTTGTGAGCTAGCATATGATGTCATAGTTGAGTCAAGGCTAGTTAGTAAAGAACTAAGTTGATGCAAACTTGAAGCTCTTTAAAACCTGGCAAGAAGACTACTGATAGATTCTATGGAGCTACACTCAGAAATAGAAACTAGGATAGTCGGTAAGCTAAGCCCTTCTAGTCTTATCATTCAAGTATTATCCTGACCATCCCTTACAGGTGTTTGTATAATCTGCTCTTAAAAATCTCCAGTGATGGAGATTCCACAAGCTCCCTTGATAGTTTATTCCAGTGTTTAACCACCCTGACATCTGGGAAGTTTTTTTCCTAATGTCTAGCTTAAACTTCCTTTGCAGCAATTTAAGCCCACTGCTGCTTGTCCTATCCTCAGAGGTTAAGGACATTTTTTCTCCTGTTTCCTAATAAACAGCTTGTTATGTACTTGAAGCAGACCTGTATATAAGGGGGATGCAAACACACCCTTGCCCCGATGGTCCACCAGGTAACCATGTGGGCTCCGGTTAGCCAGGGGAAGACAGAAGCAGCACGTTGCCCCAGCCTCCTCCCCTGTGCTCCAGCTGGCTGGGGGAAAGTCAGCTTTCTGGGGCTGATTTCTTCTTACCCCGCCAGCAGGAGCGAGGCCAGGGGTGGGGCTGGGCAGCCACCAGCCCCTCCCATGGCATACACCCCCACACACACAGAAATTCCTGCAGATGGGCCCTGTGAAAACTGTTATGTACCCTCTCATCTTTTCTTATATAGATTTAAAAAATCTCGTTTTGTTTAGATCTTTCGTCATAGGTCACTTTTTCTAGAGCTTTAATCACTTTTGCTGTTCTTCTTTTGACATTTTTTTCCCCAATTTGTCCACATCTTTCCTGAAATGTGGTACTCAGAGCTGGAAACAATTCTGTTGATTAGGCCTCAATGTGAAGTATAAAGGTGTGAACGTGTAGACAACTACACAATTAGCTGATAAGCCTGGGCTTATTGGTTAATCTTATCAACTACATGCGCTCTCCCCCGCTTCCCTTTCCCCACCAAACCCCCCGCGGCCTCTGTATCAGGCAGCAAGTAGGTGAGCTGAGCCAGAGCTAGTGCCCGTGAGGAGCTGGCTTAAAAGCTGGCTCCCCACAAGCACTGGATCTGCCTGCTCCTCCCCCATTCTTGGGCTGCCTCTGATAGAGAGGCAGCAGCATGGAGGATGAGGGTGGCAGGTAGAGCCAATACACACAGTAAGGGAGCTTTCAAGCAGGCTCCCTGCACATGCCAGCTCTGCGGACCACCTTCTCCCTGCTTGCTGCCTCCTATAGAGGCAGTGGCAGGGGGCAGGCGGGAGCTGTTGCTGTGGGCAAGCTGGCTTAAAAGCCGGCTGATTCTTCCCTAGCAGCAGTTCCGCAGTGTTACCTGCCCCTCATCTGCACTGCTGCTCACCGTAGACAGAGGCTACTCCACAGCAACAGCCCCTGTCTGTTGTGAGTCCAAGCTTTCTGCAGAGAGAGGTTGCTCTGTCATCCCATTGAGCAACCCCTGTCTATGGGGGTGTCCGAATTCCCTGTAGACGGGCTGCTACTGCAGAACAACCTCTGTCTGTCTGCGGGGATCTTGGACCCCCCGCAAACAGGGGTTGCTGCAACCCCACGCTGCTGCCTCTGTATCAGAGGCAGCAACGCACGGTGGCAGGTGGGAGCTAATCTGCGCGGGAAGGTCAGTTCTTAAACTGGCTTACCTCACAGACTGGCATAGGGTCGCAGGGGTCTCCCCCGGAGTGAGGCTGGGAGTGCACTGACTGCCGGCCCTACCTCTGGGGACTATCAAACAGTCGTGTAACCACTAGAATTTTATGTGGTTACATGACTATTTAATTACATGCTATCTAACATCCCTAGTAGAGAAAGGAGAAGAATTACTTCTTGTGGCTTGCTTTCTGTACAACACTCCTGCTAATACATCCCAGGATGATTGTTGATTTTGGATTGTGTTTTTTTTTCTGTTGACTCCTATTTAGCTTGCGGTTCCCGCTATGATACCCAATTCTCCTTCTGCGTTACTTCTTCCTAGGCAGTAATTTTTCATTTTTTGTGTGTGCCATTGATTGTTCCTTCTTAAGTGGAGTACTTTGCATTTGTCCTTATTGAACATCATCCTGTAAGTGTACTCTCTCTGTGCCACTCTCTAAATCCTTGATGAAGATATTGAATAAAACCAGACCAAGAACTAATCCCTGCGGGATCCTACTCACTATGCCCTTCTAGCATGACAGTAAACCATTGATAACTAGTCTCTGGGAACAGCTTTCCAATCAGTTATGTACCTGCCTTATCGTAGCTCCATCTAAATTGTATTATCCTTGTTTGCTTATGAGCTGGTCAATTGAGACAATATTAGGTTATCCTTACTTCCTTTTTTATATATTGGCTCTATATTTTCCATTTTCTAGTACTCTGGATTCTCTCCTGTCTTTCATGACCTTTCAGAGATAATAGCTAGTGGTTTGTATATCTCCTCATTCAGTTCCTTGAGTATTCTTGGATGCATTTCATCAAACTCTGGTGACTTGAAGTCATCCAGCTTCTCTAAAGAATTTTAACTTATTTCCCTATTTTAGCCTCTGATCCTACCTCATTTTCACTTGCATTCCCTGTGTTAGAGATCTAATTGCTAGCAACATTCTTAATGAAAACCGAAATAAAGAAGTCATTAAGAACCTCTGCCATATCCTTCTTTTCAGTTGTTTTCCCCCCTCATTGAGAAACTGGCCTGCCCTGTCCATGGTCTTCCTCTTACTTCTAATGAATTTATAGACTGTCATCTTCTTACCCTTTATATCTTTAGCTAGTTAGAAATTATTTTGTGCCTTGGACTTTGTAATTTTGTCCATACCTACTTGGGTTATTTGTTTAT